ATTAGGGGGGCCACTGCGAGCGGCAGGCCCCCCTATTACTATCCAAAATACTTATTAGGGGGGCCACTGCCAGCGGCAAGGCCCACCTATTACTATCCAAAATACTTATTCCGCAACTCCCCTCAAAACTCCCCTCAAAATTTCTTCAGAAATTTTTTCTAGTAATAAATAAACTGTTGCTGGAGAGAACTGAACCCCTTCAGGGTCACATGATCTTAGTGTGTTTGACTGGTTAGACAACCCTATTTTCATGCATTCTGAAATTCTGTTTTTTTTTTGTTGCTCATACCCAATTAGGAAAATCAACAAACAGCGTGGTGAGCGTGCCGGCTCGGTAATGTCAGCCACAGGAAGTGCGTTCAGTGGGCAGAGATTAGCCTCAGAAAACACCTGCCAACGACGGCCTCGTCCCGGAGCTGCCGTCAGGGATCATGACTCACTTTAAGCTCGTTTTAGCTCCGCTTCCCTCTCAGAATTCAGATGCAAAGCTGGCGTTTGAGAAGGGAAGCCTAGCAACACGTGCGAGCCAGTAAAACGATTCGTCTAAAGTAACGCCGGCAGAGCAGTGGGAGGGAAAACGGGCTCATGACTCAGACAGGAAAAAGGGAGAACTTTTTTTGGTTCTGTTGACAATATCAGGACTGAGAGGAAGTTCAGTTAGGTGGGAAAGGGTGGTCAGTGTGAAGGATGGTGGTTTTTCGAAAATGTGCCTTCTGGGAATGATTAAAGACTAAAGTAACTACCACGATAGATAGATAGATAGATAGATAGATAGATAGATAGATAGATAGATAGATAGATAGATAGATAGATAGATAGATAGATAGATAGATAGATAAACAGCAGTTTGATAGCCTTTGGTAGAAAATGTAGTCAACAATTATTGATTGGAATAAAATAAAAAATGTTTTTTTTAGACAAAGTGACGTAAAAGTTATGGGCACACGGTGGAAACTCACTTAACATCCTCTTCTCTGCCTTCTGCTGACCAATACAATAAGCTTTTACCACTATATGACTAATAGCTGCATTACAAATGTCATCATTTTCAAAAAAGAAAAAAGAAAAAAGAAAGAAACTTCCAAGACTGGGAGGGAGCAACAAACTAATGGCTTTAGTAAAGTCCCGGAATTGATCAAAGCTTTTGAGAAAATCTATTCAGCAAAAAATAGCACGAGTGCAGCATTCCTGAAGGCATTTATGAGAAATATCACCGGGTTAGTGTCTGTCTTTATCAGTGTGGGGAGGTGAAGGCAGAAACTTTAAGCCAGCTGAATAACGGGAGAACTGGAAATGCATTTCATCAAAGGAAACTAATAAAAACAGGTGCAGACTAAATATGCACTGATCACCATAAAACTTTAACCATTTGCATTATACTGAATAGGTCCTTATCCTACCAGTCAGGGCACGGAGCGTGGAGATCTTAGGTTTTCTTCTGAAGTTTGCAGTTGATTTTTGGGTCAGATTATTCAGTTGAGTTTCATTTAAACACTAATAAATATATATATGTATACATTCAGCCAAATTGCAACAAAATATCCTCTCATACCTGAAGATAAAAGACAATTCATGCCAATTACAATCCAGGTTTTTGTGATTTGACCATAATTTACTCCAGTTATATTCAATAAAATCCAAATGAGATGATGATCAGATGCCATCAGATCTCAACAGTTTGGTATCTGGAGAGTTCAGAGACCAGGGAAAAGCTTCATTTTGGTTATTTTATTGCTCTTCTTCTGCTAAAGAACGCCTGTTAGTCCAGTTTAAGACGGTTGCGTTCCTATTTCCTCTTTTTTTAAAACCCTCTACACATCCCAAGTGGCGTTTTTGAAAAACAGAGCTAGCGAGATGTTTCTTTGAGTCCTTTCTAAGACGTTTACGGGGTCTTTCCTGCGTTGGGGAGTAAAAAAGCCGAAAGGCCCTCCCTCCATTGGGGGGGCCATGAAAAGGACAGCCCTGACTGGTGCCACCTGCAGTCACGTCGGTATTCTTTTTACTAGCTAAACTCATCCGGCTCAGTCCTCCTGTGCGTTTGTGAAATTTTAATTCGTTTTCAAGGTGAATTTCATTCAGTTTATTCTGAAAAAAAGCACCAGAAACATTCAAGTTCTTACTGCTTTTTTCTGCCCAAACTTGAAAAAGGCTTAACCTTTCTGCTTATTTTGATTTTATTGAAGGTGTATTCAGTTGATAACCAAACAACAGTGGATACACATATTCATTACTTTTAAGGCAGTGTAGATAGATAGATAGATAGATAGATAGATAGATAGATAGATAGATAG